AAGTTAAGGCAGCTATGGAAGATTAAAACAAATGCTAGGAAAGCCACACAGACGTATTCAAACAATCTCATTTAATCAGCTAAGACATTGAATCACTTACAAGTAAGTATCTGGTCTGTCAAAACAACTGTAGTGACTAAGGTTCCCAGGTAGCCATAACAAAGAATTAGTTGTGGCTGAAGAATGATTTCAAGTTACTAACCTAGTACCCTTTTCATCCTCAACTGATGAGGAGGTAACCCCTGGGTCTCCAAGAGCTCAGTGTGCCTGCATGCAGACCGGGAAGCTATCCGCTCTGGGCTATGTTAGCTATGGGGCCAGAATCAAAATAAGTGAAAAGAGTCTAACGCTTGAGCTCAGCAAACGGGGATTAGAAATCAGGATGTGCTGAAAAGATTCCCTTTCTCAGTGCTGTTTGTGCATGTGAGTGACCAGGGCCCAGACCCGCAAGAGTTCCTACTGCCCAGCCTTTTCACTGGTTATGCATTTTGGCCTAATTGTATTTTTTTGCTTTTTATTCTAATTCTAAATTAGGTTGAGTTAAAATGAGGGAAAAGATGCAAAGCACAAAGTCTATCACATGCAATGGCAAAGCCCACAAAAATCACTGGATTGCACTAGAAAAACACAGAAGATAATTTTTATCTATGATGATGATCTGTTTGCCTGAGGAGTAATTCAGCATATAATGTTCTGATCTACATTGCTCCACTGAGAAACGAGGTACAGAAGTAACGCTACCACCCAGATGATGGGAATTGCATAAGGAAATCAGAAACTAAACAAATAAACGAAAAGCAAACAAACATCCCTTCAGTAGATAAGTAGGACATGCTGCTAGTGGGACAGAATACAATTAGGAAATTAACTTGGCTTAACTAATTCTGGCTGCAAATTGTAAAGTGTTCATAAGGGGGAGAAATAAGTAAACATTTTTAGATCGGTGCTTGGGACTAATGTTCACAAATTTTACCTTAGAATGCCAGTGAAGACAAAAACAGGGTATAGCTGGATTAAGCAACAAGGAGTCTTAGAAATCCTAATGATGACGACGATGGAATGAAGATAGTGCATGAATGAATTGTTGAACAGAAAAGATGAGTGGTGGTAGTGTCTAAAAAGCGCCTGCTCTGCTGAGGAATTCAGCTTTTAATTCTATTTTGTTAACGCCAGAAGATGGAAAAAAAGGGGCTAATGTTACAGTAACTACAATCCAGTAATGAACTGAATATATAAATATTATCTGGAAAAAAAAATCTCAAATATATAAATACTATGAAGCTTTTCCCCTCATTTAATAGTAAATGTAAACTCTAAGTACATTTCTTAGTAAACTTCTAAACTGGCATCAATATTGGCTTTGTTTTTTGGACAACAGGGCAGAATAAGCACTTCTTGTTCTGATAAAAGATGCACATGACTCCTAGGAAAAAAAAGTAACTTGTGGATTGTATCAGATTATGATTGTTTTCTTCATTGTGGGTGCCCTGATGCATGGTAAATAAATAATTTAGAAAAAAATTTAGCTACAGACACCAAAACAGAAATTTGGAATACTGAAAATATTTAAGGCTGCTCTTCTAACTCTGACATGAATACTTAAACAAAAGACATCTCAATAACATCACTCTTGGTAACAGAATTTACAAACACTGGATTCCAAATACGTAATACTCTATAGGGCAAATAGTACAATGTTTTACTGTTAACACTACTTAAGGTTTGCTAAGCTAAAACTTGACATTTTTATCTAGTAATTTCTCATGTATTACTGATAAAATGTTTTTTGCTGCTCTACACCTGAAAATAATCCTTATTCTTACATATTCAGGTTGCTAAAAGCATTTTATTTTAGTCAAAATGCTACCAGAATCGAAGTAGTTAACAGCGAATGCAATTTAAATGAACAGTTAAAAGGATTAGATAGATAGACTGCAACAATTTTCTGAACTCTTGTAGTAGTAATAACTCAAGTATTTTAGCAATAGAGATGGTAACATATATACAAACTGTATTTCTCTCTGCAAAGCTGAAGCAAAGTTCAGGAAATGTCACAAACCAGGAGAGGATTTAACATCTTTAAGGAGGTACTTAGATGCTTCTCTGAGGTAGGATTTGATTCTTTCTTCCATAATTGCTTTAAAGTCTGCAAAGTTTGTGGTTTCCCCCCTCCCCAATATATTTATAGGTGGCCTCTAGTATTGCAAAGGTCTTGAAGAACATCAAAAAGGTCATCACAAGCTCAGTTTCAGATGAATACCGTTTCAGTTCTAAATGGACTTCAGAAATGTGATGGAAATGATTTCAGTTCATCCAAATTTTGGATAATCAGGAGCGAAGAACTTGGGATTCGCCTTTATCTTTCCAAAATGGTATTATTTATGATCACATGTTCAAGACAAATGCCATGATGGGAAAATGAGCATGCATCAATAGTGTTTCCACATTCACTAAAACTTATAATGGTTGATGGAGGATAAAACAAGAGACCAAAAATAGACTTTGTGTAATCATTGTAAAAATAGCGTAATAAAAACCTTGCTCCTGAAAACTTCAATTGTTTCAATAATGCGTAGCAAGCACATTTGGTTATACAAAAGCAAAAGCACAACTAAGTTATCAACTTTACACAAAGTCAAATATCTGAAAGGGGATCTTTTAAAAAAAAAACTTTATTTGAGAAAGGAAGAGACTTATATCAGAAGGCAAAAAAAGGGAACATACAAACAGAATATATTTACAACACAAAACAAGAGATCACCTCTAAGGGTGTAAATAATAAATACAGTAGATTTAAAATGTAAGAGACAATTATCAATTAGAAATGTGGTTGTTTAAACCCAGTTTTCCTTTTCACTGGTTCCAGGTAGTTTCTCTACTTTAATTTTATCCAAATTTCCAAGATTCTGGAGTTAAAGTCCACTAATATACTGGGGTTTGCCACTTGAATGACATTATAAAAATATCTTTTGTCCTTTGTGAGCACATGTCTTTGAAGTGATATTATACAAAAGTCTTCTTATTTGCAAGTTTCTCCCCAAATAAAATGTATCCTAAAAGATGCACTATCCCTTTTTGGCAAGGCTGTAGTTAAGTTTCAAAAAAAAAAAGGAAAGTTATACGGAATGGGAAAAATATATAATTTCATCTCTATATATGCTTCGCTCTTTTGAAAGTGAATGTGATTTTTCAGTCCGAGCTGGTGAAAAGATTATTTTTAAAATACGAAGCACACATAAAAAACACCTGCATTTTGTCAATTAATAAATCTTTCCTATAAAAGGTGATCTAATGTTTCAGGAGGCCTTTCATTTCAGAGTGGCTATTTAGTCGTTTAATTTGTTTGGAGATCTTTTTAATAAAAAGGATAATGTATCTTTAGAAGTTTTAACATTTTAAGAGAGATTTAATAATATTAGAGCAAAATGTAAACAACACATGCTAATAACATATATTAGAACAATTTCTACATTTGGCAAAACAGCTACCTCTTTTGAAACAGGATACTGCACCTTAAAATACCTTAGCTTTAGAAATATAAATATTTTTAATAGAAAAAAAACTGACAAGGATTCCAGGTCAGTTTGGGATTATCCATATTAAAGGGGGTTTTAATACAATGAATCTTTAACTAGCTTAACAAAAGTAAACCTATAAAACAAGGTAAACATATCAAAAGGGAATATGAAGGAAATGTTTCACTGGAAAGCTTCCTTAACAATTTCCCTACTCGCTTTGTTATTTTCTTTGACAATAAATCAATTCATAGAGTGCCTTTAAAAACAGAGAGAACACTAGCCCGTTCCCCCTGCCTTACATTCCTCAGTACATGAATCACTTGGGCTTCCTGTTTCCATAAGGCATTTCCTGTTCCCCCTCACAGAATCACTTTTCTGCAGGAGAACAGCAGGGACCTGACAAAGTATCGACTTAAATAAACAGTGCCTTCCACTGCATCCAGCATCGCTCTGTCTGATTTTCCAGCAACAAAAAGGACCCGAGCTTTTGCAAAACGCACGCTGTACGAGTGCGCTTCACTTCCCAGCGTTTGCAACATACTCTGCCGCAATCTGAGTTTTCCTTTTGCCAAGCTGGCGTTCTATACACAGTCATTATTTTAGAATACGTCCATGAGACCTAGCGATAAAGGTTATGCAACGTTGTATGATTAATCTTTATTTAAAAAAATAAACAAGTGATTGGATAGCAGATAATAATAATCGTTCTGTGCTTTTCCTGCAATATCGTAGTATCTGATTGGAACCTAATGCTGCATTTTGCTTCTCGACAGTATTGGCATCTGCTTCATTTGCGGATGTCTCTGTGGACAGTATCATCAAATAAGACAGAATGAAAAATAAACTAAGCAGTGCAAAAAAGAAAACAATGCAATTTTTAAACAGTGCCTTGCCTTGCATCTTTACATCCACCTTGTATTTCTATTCTTCTCTAAATTAGACTTTATACACAAGCCTGGGACCACTGATATAGCAGTCAGTACCTGTCTACTGGGGAGAAAATACCCTATTGTTAACAGTGTTCAAGACTACAGTATGATACATTATATACAGATAGACGAAAGTAAAAGTCAGAGGATTCAGAATCAGGGAACAATCCTGTTTCATCAATCAGGTCTGGAAACTAATGCCAGCACTTGCTGATCTCAACAAGCTAGATAATACAAGTTCCACTTCACTAGAACTAAGCGATGTAATGACAATCCTGGCCTAATACACATTCTATTTATTATGCAAAGATTTAGGTAGAGTAATCGACTGCAACAGGTATTTCTCTCAACTAGTGGCCTTAAAGAAGAGCTTCACTATGGTTTTAAATGTGCATACAACACCTCTGCTCTTGTTAAATTCTTTGAACGATAAACTGGGATTTGCTAGTTCAGTGAATCAAAACACAATTGCTTATCAAAGCCCAGAAAATGCATGTGATGTTCAGATAATAACCTTAATGACAAATCCTGGAGCTAAATCTTTGCCTATTACCTGTTGCACAAAAGCAGCTTGCTCCCCAGATTCCATTTGCTGGGTTTGAATATCCTCATCACTGTCAGGCGGCTCCTCTTTGACTTTCACAGCCCCCACCTGCTGTCCTATTCTGTCATCCACACCAGCACTGCTGCTCTCAGCCCTAATGCTGGCACCACTAGCGGGAGCTCCTTCTTCCTGCATTGAGGGATCTCCATGCAGCTCTTCTTCAGCTTCCTCCAGGTGACTGCCAGGCTGCTTTAGCTGCTCAATGGACTTGGAGAGCATCTGGAAGGAGGAGGAGGGCAACAGTTACTATTTCTCCTGATGGCAAACACTGAGAATTACTAGATTTGCACTGATAAAATTCAAGCTTCCACAATAAAAGTGTGTTGCTATGCACCGCTAACAAACTAACTTAGAGGAAAAAAAGAACCAGAGTTCATCAGCAAAAGGTCACTTGTTAGCCTGCAGTAGAAAATACTATATATGTAAAGAGTGCTATCCAATAACATTAAACTAGAAATAAGGCAGAAAAATGAAAAATCATTACACATCAATCACAATTAGTCATATGGTTAAAATTTTGCCATAAGGAAATTTGGCAGTGTTCACACAAGCTTCTTTACCAAATAAAGCCTGAAGGCGCTAATGTCCAACAAAGGAGTGGTGACAAGGAGCTGGTGTTGGTGGCACAAGGAGACTCCCTGCAAAGACTACAGCTTTTGTCATGCATGGCACGGGTATCCATTTCAGCAGTAGTGATATGACACAGCTATCCAGACAAATCTGTTTTTACACGGTTAACTGCTAGTGTAAAGCTTTGCTGAGGTATCACATGCCTCATTGTTACAGATATACTACAAATATAGTTTATGCTTTCCTATGTAAGATTCAGCAAATGCAATACAAAAAAAAAAGTCACTCTCTGCCTTGCTGAAAGAGACACAAATCAAACACACGCCTAAGCATCTGCAGGATCAAGGGAGTAATTATCATTTATTCAACTCTGCCCTCTCCCACACCTCTTGATTTCAAGCAAAATTGCTTTGTATCACCAGGGTCAAATAGTATACTGAGAGGGAAAAGAGCATCTTTTACCATCACATTCGCATTCTGCCCTTCTTCTCCCTCCTGTACCTCCCCCCAGCTAAGAAGTCTTTCAAACTGAGTTTTAGCTAGCAATATATGCTCAGTTACACGTGGTTTGAGTAAAGCTACTTTGGCACAAACTATGGATGTTGTAGTTTGCTTCATTCTGCTTGCTAATGCATATGGGAAAATGCCACCCTAGCGCAGGGCAGGTTTGTCAGTTGAACCAAGATCAAGAGCCTACAGCTGGACTGAGGCACAGAGGCAGCAGCAAGAGCTGAAAGATCTGTTTGTGCAGTTCCAGGTGATGCATTGATGCTTAAGGCGAAACGGAGAAACAAATTCCACAGTGGACGTCTACAGGCTTCAATCAGAGAAAAACCTTCACTTTTAGGGTAAGGGGGGGCACAATGGCTTACTGAAAAGAAATAGAAAAAAAATCCTTTTCTCTAGTAACTGGCAAACCACAACACGTCTCCTTCATAGTGCAGGTGGCATTGCTCTAAGCCAAGGAATACTTACTAGTGCAACTAATGCAAAGTGTCTCCTTTTAATAAGAAGAGTCTGGAAAATTTCTGAGATCAAACCCATAAATCTTTTCCAGTTGTTTCTCAGAGGATGGTCTGACCAAGAAAGCACTGAAGTGAGCTACATGTATTCAGACTGGGTACACTAATTTCTGTCACTTAGTTAAACATGTGTGGGTGATCCTTCTCCATTCCTCAAGCAAGAAAAAAAAAGAAAAGGAAAGAAAAGAAAAGAAAAAAGAAAAGAGAAGCAAAGAGAAGAGTCTGGCTGCTTAGCTGGCTGACTAGCAAGCAAATACAAGCTGAAACATCTGTGTGACAGATAATCATATACAGCTATGAGAGTCATTGATGCTGATCCATCTGTAAAACATTCCATATGCCAGTTACTTGACATCAGGTGGGTTAGTCTGGCAGGAGAACCAAGAGAAAATGGGTGCATGTCCACAGCAAAGTTAAGGCACATATTTAGCTCATTACTGCTCTCCCTTCTTTTATGCTTTTTCACTTTTATGTCAGCCTCTTTCTCCTTCACGCTGCTGTATGGAATAGATCTTTAGTGCTGCTGAGCTTTCTGATGCAACACGTTATGTCCTGTAGTATTTAATCTATACATGGAACACCTTCAAACACTTTTTGTATCTAATCAGTGGAGTGATACAAGCATGCAGGAGGCTACGGAGACTACAGTGGTATTTGTGTGCGTTGCAGTGGCCTACTCCCACACCAGGGAAAGTCAGTAGGAGATTTGCTCCAGACTTCAGCAACAGCAGGAACTAAGTAAATTAAACTTTGTAGAAGTCTGTGAAATTAAAATATATATATTTTCAGAAGAGAAATACAAAATACTATCATCTTATCAAAATATTATCATCTTTTATGTGGAAGCTTATTACAAAAAAATCCTTTACATTGTGACCTGATGGTAAAATTGAGAATAAAGCAGAACCTCAGCTACAATTTGCTGAACTTCAAGGAGTTCAGAGGGAGGTGGAGGAGGCAAAGGGCTATGAGGCAGTATGATCATTTCCTCTCATACAATAAAACATGATAAAAAGGGTTGAGGGCAAGGGCAGAAGCCAAAACCAGTAAAACCACCCCTGCTGGCCAGTCTGCTAAGCCACAGTCGTCTCATTTCTCCATATCAGCACCACCCATCAAACACTGCTCAAGTCCCTTCATTTTGCAGTTGGATGCTTCTGCTTAAACTTAGCGTTTAAATCTTTCACTTTAAATTTCAATTTACTATTTTTTTTTCTGGATCTATCTGTAGGTTTTAATGTACAATTCTGATTTCGGAAAAATGACTGTTTAATTTGAGCTCTACTAGGACTATATTTAAAAATAATAATAATAAAGTTTTATCTAATGAATTCAGTTAGAATTGTACAGATTGGTCTTCTCAAAGCAGCACATATTACTTTTATAGCTATTCCAACTAAAGAAGTCACCCAAAAAAATGACTTCATGCTAATGTATCCTATATTTTTTTTCCTTTTATTTTCAGGAAATTAAACTGTAAGGGATATGCAGGAGCCAAAGTAAATAGTGGCAGTAGGACAGAGAGCATTTACAGAAGTCAACTCTACTGTATAGCTATAAGAAGCTCACCAAAAAAAGATGTCAATCTAACCTGGTTAGTTGTACAGAAAAATGGAAGACTAAGTATAAATAGACCTCTTCAACAGACCATTTTATAAGTTTTTCAGTTGCAGCCATTGCCTTTGTGTCTCCTCTGTAATGACAAGTTCTTGTAAAACACATCATTTCCAAAGACATTTTAAATAAAATGTCATTACAAAGAGACACAAGATAGAGAATAGTTCTGCAACGACCACGACATATTTCTTTCCTTTATAGATTGTCCATTTAAATACACAGCTATTGTTCCAAAGAACTTGTTTATACGCTCATACAAAAAACACTTTTTCTGCTTCTTTCCTATGGCTATCCGTTTGCTTTTACTAGTCATGTATGTTTTTAGCTGTACTGAATCATCATGGCATCTACTCGCTGTTTTCTCTGTTACCCATGTAGGACATTTCTAAGGGGCTTATTTATCTTTAAAAATCATTCTTTTCCATGTGGCTTAGGTATCAGTTCTCAGTAAAGGAGAAAATGCTCTGGCTTTTTTTTCAGGTTCCACACATTTTTGCTATTGCTATAGTTTTGTCCAAAAACCCCTCACTATTAGAAATATTTGAAAGAAGAAATGTGTATCTCACTACCTCTCACCTTCAGAAGCTGCAAGTCAGAAAGGTTCGGGTGGAAAGCCAGAACCTCAGCTGTGAAATTTTTAATGAAATTAGGCTGAAATACAACTGAAGCCTGGATCCAAACACTCTTTGATATTTCATCAGACAGCAATCAGAGCAGTGAATGAGTAATGTGGAGTCTACTGTCTCTGCAGAATATTCCTATTGACAACAAATATCTTCCTATTTTTTCATCAATAAATCAATAGAAATATCCCTGTTATTTTTCATTTTTTATTAATAAATTTTGGCTAAACAGCATCAGCATCCAAAGCAGTGATGAATTGTCATTCCCTTTACATTTCTGCCATTTATTTTTTCACTTCACAGTCCTGCTCAGTCACTCTTTTCCCATACAAAGATACTCTAAGCTTCAATAAAACTGAAATTCAGGTACTCCTTATTTAATCTTTAAAATTCTCCATGCTGCATCCATATTTTAGTACACATTGCAAACTGCCCCATTATTTTAATCCTTACTACTGCAGTACGAAGAAGGATTTTACTATAGAAAAATATTTGCGAGCAGTTAAAACCCTGTAAATGTATTATTATAAGAACACCTGTAGGGTTCCCACACTGATCAAATGAAATCTTGGTCCCAGTGAAGCCAGTGCTAGGTTGTCATCAGCTTCAGTAGAGGTAGGATTTTACTCATCATATGCAGTGATAAAAATAACTTTTAAAGGCAGAGGGCTCCATTCACTTACTGCTCACATTACTATTTATTTCTGAGATTTTCTTGAACTCAGACTTTTGCTAGTGGCTTTGCACTTACATTAGCTACATGAAATTTTTTTTTTCTTTTTTTTTGTAAGTGGCAGGGTCAAAGTTTTTTAGATGCCGAGATACACAAATAAAATCAAGATTTTAAGTTTTTTATTGTAGCAGCAGTCTTTCAGTACCTGATTGCAATAATTTTAACTCGAGTTTTCAGACATTGCATTCTCATTATTGAGCAGAATGAAGTTCAACAATAGTGATCAAAGGGCCTTACGAGGAAATAAGCTGTCATTTGAACAGAAGTATATTAAAGCTGACAACACCAAAGTCAATCTTCCCAAAGACAAGTGGAGTTCAGGTTACTGCACATTCATTATTATTTTTTCCCTAGAAAGCTGGGACAAGGGTTTCTACGTACTTTTGGATGGGATGTCAAGATTTGCATTTGAGTTAGAATATTTTCAGAAGGTCAGTGTACTAGATCCCGCAGGTATAAATGTCAGACTTCAGTGGAGATGTATACAGTTTCCCACATCAAAAACCCAGCATCTGACAGCTGACCAGAAATAATCCATAGGGGATCTTCTCTTTGTTAGTAAGGACAGAGGCACATCTCTTGGCAGTGATTTGTTTTTTTTTCAGAATGGAAATGATCCAGGGAATTCTTTACTTCTGACCTAAGTTAGATATTGCTTGTTATCACCCTTACAGCAGCTCTGGCTTGCACCTGAAGTATATTCTTTTATCAAAGAAAAGAAATAGCTTTTTTTAAAGAAGATATATACAAGATTGAGGGGGTGGGGAGAAACTGTCGCTCTCTTCCTCTTTCTGTTGTTACAGCAAGATTTTGCCCATATTTCCACTGAAAGCAATCTAACCAAAAAGACTTTCAGTGAGTGCTAACACATACCATATCAATCTTAGCTCAGGGTGAAAATTCAAATACTGAGTTCTGTTGGACTATATTAAAGCCTTAAATGCCAATGTCCTAAACATCGGAAAAAAAAAAGGAAAGAGGAACAGAAGAGAAATAGAAGATATTAACTTGTTCTCAGCTCTTGATCAATTGGCATTTCATAGTCTTGTGAGCTTAAAATCATTCCTGTTGTCTTTCTAACAAAAACTTTTAAGAGAATGTTTGAGTACTTTTTACTAAATAAAGCATTTTTTCATGACCAAAAAGGAGGGAATTATACAGTTTTGCAGACTTCATTGCATGGCCTATGTACAGAAGAGTAACAGATAGAACAATGAAAAATAACAAATGCATGTATTCCCTTGATGCAAGCACAAGCTTCTCCTAAGAAATGAGAAGATGGGGGGTTGCTTTGCTCCCTGGTCTAGAACACCTCTTGTTTACCAAGCTGACTGCAGTCTTTGTAGTTTCTTATCCAGTCTCGTTCTTGTGAGGTTCAATATATTCCTGGTTAAACTAAAATGAAGCTACCTAATCTCTTCGTATGATTCATATCTGATTTATTTGACTCAGGTTAAATTTTGGCATTCAGGACAAACGTACCTATCTGTCACATCACATATCCCCGAATGTTATGATAGAATTTATGTCTATAAGCATATCTAACAAAAACATGTAAGGTTGGGTCTTTCACTTGTGAGGAATGCATGAACAGCAACCAATCATTTTGCAGTGAACACCCACAAACAGCACAAAGACTCAGTACTTTACTACTAAAAATTCTTTTCTCTTCAGACAGTTGAGGGCAGGTGAAATGTTTTCAAAACCTGAGGCTACAAGATGAGCATATGCCATCTTGATTAAACATATGGAATGCATACTCAAAGAAAAGCCAACTGGAGTCCTAGTTGAGTAATCAAAACACCCAAGCTGAGAGGGGTTAACATGCGAGGATCAGCCCTGAACTTTGAAGTTTTCTGGTCTTCATTTTTCCTAATTAAGACAAGATTTAATAACCAAACCACTGTACAAACTATGTACTTAAACTCTAGGTTTGTTTCTAATTTTGTTGGGAATTCCTAGTAGATTCCAAAGAATCAGTACCCCATGGGAAGTTCACCCAGTTTTTTTTTTTTTTCATTTTCTTATAGGTACCAGGGCTGAATGCCCACTTTTCATCTTTTTTTCCTTTGTCATTGGCACTTCTATATAGTTATGAAGTAACCCTTAAATAAAACAAGAAAATTAAAAATGCATAGTTAATATATTCCTTGAATTATTCTAGGAGCTCTGAATTATTCTAGTTGCTCTGGCAAACAACTTCTGGAAGGTTTTGTAATAAGTGCAGAAGAAAGTTCTTTAGGTAAAAGCATTTAATACTTGCATATTTACATTTTAGAGCAAGGAATAGCATCACATTTGTTGTAGATAAATATACCTAGATTCTGCTGCTCTTTGTTTATTAGTATATGGTCTCTTTTGTTCTTGTTTCCTCTCAGAATAAGGCATTACTCTACATGGAAACAGAGGCAGAATTCAACTCTATATCTGATGTTAGAAATAGTGTATTCTTCTCTTTCTTATTTTTTAGTGTTGAGATTTATATTGCCACGGAGATAACAAATCTTAACATGACTAATCGACCTAAAGACAAGGGGCTATTTTAATAAAAGCTGATTTTTTTTTCAATTGATCAATAAGTTTCTTAGGCAAAAAGAATAAATTTTATCAGCTGACTGTCCTCAAATGAGTTATATACATACTCCACATGCTATTACATAAGCTTAACATATGACTTGAAGGCAGCTGAATGGAATGCTTTCTGAAACTGGAGATGGCAAATAAAAAAGTTGAATAGAAATTCAGTAATCTTTAAAGCATCATTCACCTATGCAACAGGAAACCAACTATAATTTAAAACTGTAATATTATTTGATCCCTATTTCATTGAATTATATTTTCATTGATGTCAATAACCATAAATTAATTTTGTATCATTTTTCAGAAAGCTGAAAATGAAGATCTATACAAATACACACACAATATGCATAAATACGGTATTTTTACAATAACCTTCCTATTGTCAGCTACCACATGGCACCAGTACTGTGCTTCTGTATTACTTTTCAATCTTTAAGTTTGGTGGAAAGTCCTCACTTTGGGTACTCACCTTATTCATGTGGATCTGTTGCTGGTACTGTTTCTGCTTCTCCAAAAACTGTTGATGTTGCTGCTGGATAACCAGCTGGGCCAAAGTACTCTGAGGAAGAGGAGCTGACTGGGTTCGATTCAGTGGCCTGTGACGAGGCAGTTTGTGGGCAGCTCTTATGCCAGGTGAAACTCTTTCCTTTGCTGCTAAAGGAGACTGCGGATGAAGAGGAACTGCTCCTGCAAAACAGTGACATTTCACTCCGGTGGGAAGAACAATAAACTAATAGATCTAATAGAAGAGAAATTGCTCAGTCAGAAGGGGCAGAAGGGGGGTATATTGCAGAAGTTTGCATGAGCATTGATGCAGTGGACCAATCTATCACATGCCTAGCCACACTGGGAAGTTCAATAGCTGCAAATGAATGTGATGAAGTAAGCACTTTCTCTTTTCTGTAATCACTGAACTCTTTCATGCTAAAGGACTGGACCAGAAATCACTGAAGTGGGTAAAGAAAACAAAGACAACTGCACTTTTTTCGCCCAACCTTCTACTTCTTCCAGTGGCCAAGACCTGTAGAATCTGTATTACCACATTCATTTCAATGCAAATAAAAATGTCATTAAAACACCTAAAATTAATACTGCATTGAAGCCTCGATCATTACCAGTCACAAGAAGCTTCTGCTGTCTCATTTGTTCCTTCAGTAACAAGTGTTGCAGAAGAGCTTGGTGGCTGCTATTTGGCTTTCCCTCCAAAGCAACATGGGGATGAGTTGAAGCTGGAGGAATGTTCCCCCCATACTGTCCAGGCAAGGCCACTCCTTGTCTGAGTGTCTGGGTCTCTCCCTTCTGCTTTTCTTTGAATGATGATGAAGCCTGACAAAAAAACAATGGCACTAGTAAATACTTTTCATAGACCTAGCCTTTTACATCTCCACATGATTAGATGGTCCTATGAATACTTTTGAATACATATAGAGGAAAAGGTTAAAATCTCTGCCTTACCCTTTGCCTGTGAGATGAAAAGGAAGGAGGAGCATGCCCATTAAATTTAGCACTATAAGAAACTGAGTAATGAAAAAAAAAATAATAACAGCCAAAGCAGAAGGAATTACTAATGAGAACATTATTAATGAAATAACAAGATTGAGACCTATCCTTAAAATCCTGAACAATCTTTCCATAGTTCTCTTGTGCAGGAAAAAGAGACGATCAGAGGAAATAGTTTACATTGAGCTTGGATTATGGCGGGATTTTGTTTTTAACATAATTTTCCATCACATAGCAAGTTAGTCTGTAAAACAAAATAAATACCTGTAGTAATGGTAAGCTATTACTTTTCTTGGAGCATTCCCTGAGTCCCTGAAGGACAGCAGAGATATAAGTTATCCCCCTTGCAAAGTAAATTTGTATAGTAAAACTCTGATCTACTGAAACATCAAGAGCTCTTCTGTGTGTGGCATTTTAAAGTGTCCCTCTAAATTGCTTGGTTATTGATTGAGGCCTAATTCTGGGAAGCTTCGCTCTAACAGAAAAATATGTTGAGGCCTGCAGGTTACCACTAATGGACTGTCATGGTTAAAACCAGTATGTCTGATAATCTGAATCCCACATATTCTAATGAGGCAAACAAGAGTTCCTAATAAATATTTTGTGGGCGTATGCTTACTTCACACCCTGCCTTCACCCTTCCCTGAAATATAAACATCAAAGTACTTTACAATTTGCAACTACTTATTCTAGCAACAGAAACAAACACTACTCGCATAAATCAATCCCTTTTTTTTTTCAAAAGCTGGAAGTAATATTTGGTGCTAGCTGACCACTTCAAAAGCTCATACAATTTGAGTGAGAAAATTAAAGATATTTTCATTTCCTTCGTTAATATTATAAAATTTCTTTGAATCTAGTTATATGTTTTGTGAATTAACTAGGAAATTTTTGGTGATATGGTTTGGAAAAGTAAGCACTACTTTTCAAGATCGGTTCAATTTTTCCATCCCTTAAAAACAATAATTTGCTTATAAATATCTCATGAAAGGCTTCTAGAGAACTGATTCAGAGCTCACACAATTTTCCTTCAAAGTTCACTATCTGATCTTAAAAGGATGGATTGCAGCAATATATTATTGGTGAGAATACTACAAGTACTGAAAAAGACATAACATGACATGAGATTTGAACTACGTTTAGCACTGCAATTAAGTAGAACTTATTACAAACCACAGCAGGCTGCATATTTTTTTATATACTGGAAAGTTGTATTTATACAGCTAGAATTTTTATAGAAGTTACCCATTCATATACTATGAAATCTGCGTTGCTAAAATTTCTTCATAATTCATACATTCTTGTATAGAACCACCATATACTTTATATAATATTTTTTTCTTTTCTACTGGAAATCAGAAAGAGTAAAATTTTGACCAGTGATAACATTTTCAATTATTTTACAGGGCCACAGATTTCAGCTCTAGATTACTGTGACTTTGTCTAGATCTAAGGATCCTTATCCATCAGCATGGACTGCTATACATACCACATCTATGGTTTCATAAATTTCATACAACAGTTTAACATTTTGCTACAAATAAAGTTGAATGCTGCAGCTTGAGCAAAGGACATATGAATGTAACTGCTCATTAAAATACTAAAAGTTGTTTCCATATCTGCCAATTTTATTTGTAATGATTAATAGCACATCCCTCAAATAACAAACCAATCTGCAGGAATAACAGATGCTTCCCCTGCTATGCTCCATACCAGCCTAGGTTGCTACTGGAATTTTATTGTAAAAATAGTTACAGGTGTTGCACTTTACCAGGTACCATTAATCACCTACCCAAAATCATTTAGTATAAAAGTTCAAATAACATGATCGCCTCATATACTATACCTCATCATACCTGAAATCAGGTATCTGATTTGCAGATATAAATGTGATGCATCTGGCCTGTACTTAGCTAAGCTCCATACTGACATTTGTTTATTTGCTATGATTATCGCTTGAAGGCATGGTCTTCAATTTTCAGATGCTGCCCATGCAAAGAAAATTCTGTTTCCTCCTCTGAACGGCTTACATTCCCAAATGCAAAAAAAAAGAGAATAGGCAGAAAGTAGGTTTCCTGGAAGCAAAAGGAGACAGGAATGCTTTAAACTTGTCACTTACACTGATGTGAGATTGTACTGCTGGAAGTCCCAAGGTAATGTTGGGCAGAGAAGGGGATGTGTACAGACTCAACAAGTTCACTGATTCTTCCTGTATCAAAAGACGTTGCTGTGAAACCAGATGCTGGAGTAAAGGAGAAAAACAATAGATATCATCCGGTATAATCTCCAACCTTTTTATCTTGGTTACCCTATTTTGGTTATTCTGCAACACTGAAAGCCAGCTATGTCTCCTACATTGGTTTGCATCCCATTGGGGGTTCCAGATAAGAAAAAGTATTGTCTCTCTAAAAAAGCTATTAATATTTCCTTTCTTAAGAAAACAGCTAGTATTTGTATGGGAATATTCCTTCGTTAGTAAGTCAAATTTCTATGCAGAACTAAAATCTTGAGGATGCCTAGACCATCTCTTCTCTCATCACCTACACTTTCACTACTGTAAGTTTAGTGGGAATTTAGCCAATGTATTATGGACTTTAAGACAAAGTGTAAAACACAGTTTGTCTTTTGGAGCAATGGAGATTCATCCCTTAAGGTATATGAGGCCATATACAGTCAAATTAAAAGTGTCATTGAATGTGGATGTATTAGACCTTTACTTACCATAGTTATTAACATTTTTGTTGTAAAGTATGAAATGCAGCTCACAAATAGACTATGTATTTTCTAATCCTGATTGTGTTATGGGGATGTTACAGTTACATTATTTAGTTCTATTGATGTGGTAATTTAGGGTACCAATTTAGGCAGGATTGCCACACCTTCCATTTAAAAAAAATGTACTCTGTCCCTCTCTCTCTACATATGCATGTATAGATATAGTGTCCCATCATTCTCTGATGGTAGGATACTCCCTCATAGTCTTCCTAATTCCATTCAACTTAAAATCTTTAACGTTTGTTTTGAATCCTTGTGATATAATTTTCAAGGACATGGAGTTTCCGGTATATTTTTAATCACTGTCAAGTAAAAATGGACATTCAATAAAGATCACCCGTTGCCTTCCCATTTTAGATTCATTGGGAAGAAATATAAAAAGCTACATTACCGCAACAGGAATCTTTTTGAAGCCTTTGCCTCTCTGCTTTAAGAGTCATGTTTTTCAACATGTGGTCTAGTATAGTTGCTTGAATTACACTTTCTGTTTAACTCTTGCTTCCCTCCCAGAACTTTAACACAATAAGAGCTACAAAGGTCTTATTAGACTTAGGAACTCTGGCATGATATGGTCCCCAAGGGAACAACATCCTTGAAAAAGAATACCCTGTGTAACAGTATGACACAGTGACTGCTTTCTTCCCAAACAAAAAGCATATGGGACTCCAATAATAGACCACCTCCAAGAGGGATACTGCTCACTCGGGCTTTGACTAAAGTAAATATAATAACTTGTCAAGCATGTTGTGGGGAGCTGTAGATTTTCCTCTGGACAAACCTGGAATATCAATTAACTCTGTAAAATACTTTGTGCTAATACAATGCAACTTCAGACCATCAATGAAAAGTGGTTAAGCACAAAAACACAGGATGTTATTCCAAAACATAACCTTCCTCATACAGTTTGTTTGGAGATATGACCTGTCACGGAGACAATAACAGTAGAAGTCTATCTCTGTAATTTTCTTGTGCTACCTAGGGAATGTCAACAGATAGTATATGAAACAAAGAAGCCTTACTCATATATTACATTAATTCCTGGCCTTGCCTTGCCTTGATAACATCCACCTTTGACCATTGTTAAACCCAGCATGTCCAGACTATGGAGGCATTATTAAGGGAAACTACAAAAATCAAACTGAAAAAGGATGCTGTAGCAGCTGCAATGCACCGTCTAGACCACCATCAAATTGGTACTGACTGCAGTACCTACACAGAGCTCCTCCAAGAATGAATGTTTCCTTTTTGGTTTTCAGTATACCACTGTTACCTTCTAAGATTTGAACTAGCAAGTGAAACAGTGGTAGAGTTTAAAGAAGCAGTAAAATTCATTCCCACCACATTAAGGCCAAGCATGACTGCTACAAGAAGCAAAATCAATTGTGTTATGTAGCATGAAAGTTTAATGTTAAAAGTTTGAATTTATTACTTAGAGTATTTATATCCAATTTGTAATACCTCTATTAATTTGTCATTTTTGTTTTGGTAAATAACTGATTAAAAAAAAATCAGTAAATATTTGCTTAAATGCCAGATAAACTCTGTCGCCAAACATGAGTTTAGGAGCCTACCTGCATGAATGAGGGTCCAAACTATGCTGATGTACAGCTACGTTTCCCCAGCTGCAGCTTCTCCTTTTACACTATTGAAAATACCCTGAGATAGTGGCACAGATTTGAGATGCCAGCAGTGTCATTTGGTAGCACAGTGCCTAAGGCATGGTCCTTTCCATAAAGACCTGATGGTCTGGATTGGCAACTATAGGCAACTGCCCTCCAAATACTTACTCACTGGGTTCATCCATCCTGCTTCCTGTTGTTTAAAATATCCTGTCAATGTAGTTACCTTCTCTCTTAAGATAGACACACAATAACTAAATTTAGCAGTGCACGATGATGCATTGCTATATTTAGTTATTGTACTTCTATTTTACTACCTGGGCTGGCTGAGAAGCAGGAACAACTATTTCACATGCCCATCTTCATATGCACATTTATATAAAAAGTGATAAAGTGGTTTGCCTTTAATATTTCTAAATTGTGGAGCTACAGTAAGGTTATCGTGGCTTTGAATAGTCACAGCTAATTAAGTTATTTCTTAAAGCTTCTTCTTTTGTTGCTACAGTTAAAAAATGAAGTAGAATCTTTCCACATACATTTGAAGCAGACCCCCCCAGCTGCTCAGAAACTTACACATTTTGCCACTAGCCATTTGCAAAGAGTACCGCGCAGAGCCGAGTATTAGAAACATAGGGTTACATAAAGCAAGTGTGTGTTTATCTGCCTTGCATGTAATTTATATCTCCCACATAATCAGGTGATACTCTAAGAAATGTTGCTCTCCAAAGCACAAATGAAAGAGAAAGAACATGACCTGAAGCCCACTGACACCAGACGGATTCTTTCCTTTGCGTTCAATGGCTTTGGACCAGGCTGTGTAAGCCTAACATTAATCATTTTGCATGACCTAGGCAAGTTGTCCCTCTGAACTCAAGGGACATGCTGTGCAGGGGCTCAATCCTGCTGGCATTTCTCATGCAAGTAAGATTTAGTCCCAGCACAGCAGGTGACCTGAAAGTGTATGGCACGCTACCAGAGACAAATAGCTGCTGCAGTGAACCTTGATGCTGCTGGAGACAACCAGGCCTAATAAAAACAGCATTTTATTTATAAGGTGCAATTAAAAACTTGTGTTTAACTTTCAAGTTTCATATAATGAGACCAGTGTTTTAACAAAGCTTACACTGAAAGGGAAGGGAACTGTGATAGTAAAGCATTATCTGCCAAAATGTAGCACTTGCAGTGCACCGTCGCTCATTCAAAAAAATGTAAATGTCTGCCCACCAGACTGTCTGCTCCACTGGGTAAACCACTTTAAAGTCTAGCTATTCAAATGGATATGGCAAAAATACTTTAAAATCCGTTTCATTACTGATAATGCTCTAATTCTGTCTACGCACTAAAGTGTGATCATTTACAGTATTGACTCATGTTTTTACTGGTAAATGGCTCTCTGTCATAGCAACCTGTTTTCCCCCAGCAAAAAGTGTTTTATTTGCTGCCATGAAAACCACAGCTATCCACCCACTCAGATATGAGCACAACACTTACTGCAAATGTCACAACAACGATTATGAAACAACAGCAATGTGAGTCATGCAGAATTACAGCAAAACAAGTGATATTTTGGGTGATTTTAGAGCACTTATCCTATTATTAGAAACTTCTGTACTTTTTATGTCTGATGAAAAATTGATTAGCTATATAGCTTTTGAGAACTGGCAGCTAATGTTGAACTAGAGAAGAGATATGTATTAGTTTGGTTACCGTTAAACTACCAAATAAAATCCCACTGAAATCAAAATGTACTGAAGTTGAGATTTATGGAAAAATGTTTGAGCCCACAGGACCACAGCATTAACAATCAAGTAACCAGAGAGGTAAAGAAATCCCTGACTGGATCCAGAAATGGAAATCAGTGGTTTCAGCTTCTTAGCACACTTCCAGCAAGCTAAGTGACTGACGCCAGTACATGGAGCTCAACTTCTAAAGGAACTTTTTAGGCTCATTTGAGCATTGTTGTATGGGACTAAAACGTCTGTTGCCTGGCATAGCAATGGCAAATGATATCCAACACAGTGTTCTAATAATGAACAGAATACAATCCTGCTGGTTCTAGCTACAGCCTTTCAAATGTCCCCAGAGATTGCCAGTCTGACCAGACTGTATGTGTTTCTGATGGTAGTTTAATGCTGTGGGCAAGAGTCCAGAAACTAAAATATGCAAAGTAACAAGCACTGAAAATCAGTTTGAGACACTATTCTCTTTTTGTCTTGTAGTAGTAACTCCGATCTCCTCAGGTCAATATATGATCCAATTTGATAAGATTTCCTGTTTAATACAGCATTAATATGTACATATTACAACTTTCTACTTTTATCTAAAACATTCACAATTTTAAAATATACTATTTAATTCCACCAAACTAGTGTTTGATCTAATCTGAATGTTTTATCTTGCTCTGCAACATTTACATTTTTTTGCAATCACATACAGAGGGGCTATGAGGCAAGACCACATGTTAGCCATCAATGCAATTTTTTTTTCTTTTTGGTTACGGGCCAGAGAGAGGCTACTAATCAGTGTGCAGAGGTCACCCACCTGCCCCCTGGATCATAGTTCACACACACAATTAATTCATTATGGGGAAAAGTCACTGCTGGAGGTTGAACTGCCCATTCCAGGTTTTTTTGAGGTGAATGTCCTGCCACTGACCTGGAGAAATAGCTCCATTAGCTAAAACTCTGTTAAATCACATTTCCTTACGCAACTTTTCTAACATAAACGTTATAAAGCAACAACTAATAGAAAACTTTGCCACTAAAGCAAAAATGGCTGTAAGTATAGGTACTGGATACAGAATATGTTTGAATTTCATTTTCTCTTAGTTAGAATACATTTATTGTCCCTTTACAGTATTGCCACAGATTAGCCTGACTTAGGTATGTCTAAGGTAAATGAGGTTTCTCACAAATGATTCAGCACCTACATGCCTATTATTATAGGCATCTATGAACAAAACAGAATAATAAGTAGTTACAGTTCCTTCTGTCCTTGGATCCATCCTTAGACCTAAAGATCTACCTTTATGAAAAAATTATCAAAGACTCTGGGCATGTCAGTTGTGTGGATAAGTACTGTACAGATGAGGAAACTGAGATACAGAAAAATTAAAGGCAGATGTGAAAAATGACTTAATCACCTAACTCCAGTATTGGAATTAAAAAAAAATATTTCAGCAGGCATCTGAACCTGGAAATGCCTTAATCCATACGAGTCAGAGTCACCACTGCCTAAGTTACTCTTTCTCATGTGAAAGTCCTTCATCAGAGTTCTGCATTGGGCACCTCTTCAGACTATCCCAAAAGAGAAACCAGATGCCTTGTCCCTTCCATTCACAGCAATCTGAGATCCTTTGGTTACCAAAGAGTCTCTTTACACGGCAGTCTCCTTTCCAAAGATACTCTGCTATCAGTCTACAGTGTCCTGGTACCCTGATAATCATAACTGCTACAGTTGAGTAATGCTTGTGAGTATCACCAAATTGAAGTTCGGAATCTCGCCAAATCTAGAAGACTGAGCACTTATCTAGTCAAGAACGAGTATACACTTAGTCTTACCTCAGCTTGAATGTTAGCTGGCAAAACTGAGGTTTCATTTTCTGTTATACTACCAGTTGGACCATTGCTTGGGGAACTGGGACCTGATCCGGGAGAGCTGCTACTGACTGAGGATTCTGGAAAACAGATTATGCAAACATGAATTCATGGTTCACATAGAAAGGCAATGCATGATCTCGATGAACTAACTGCACATTGTATATGGCAT